TTGGCTGCGTGCAATGTCTACACGATTCCAGGCCAAAGCCAGGCTGAGCTGGTCTGGAGCAGATGCATTGGTACCTACAGATAAACACACAGAGGTTTCATATTTCAAACATGATGAAACAAGATTGGACAAGCTCCTGCAATAACTAGAAAACAGCAAGCCTGGCTCCATATCATACTATCATTAGAATAATTCTGACACAAAGCAGTGGATTCATCCAATCAAATTACAGCATCTTCCATTTAACCCTATAATCCTAATTTCCAAAGGATTAATGAGATTGTCTCTTTTGTTTTAAAGCTTCCACATTGACTTTTACTCTGATACTAAAGACAGACATTAAACTCTTCTTAAAGACCCCTCTCAGCTCCTCTGGATGATACTGCACATAAAGGTGTAAACTTGGGGACTCCAGAGATTCCTTATAAAGTCAGTATCAACTACTGTATACCCACAGTCAGAACAGTTGTTTCAGCAAACATTACAAACCCCAATTAAATATGGAATTATCCTATTGCTCTAAGCTTTAAATGGCACAATCTGAGATCTGGAAAAATCCAGACAGCTTTTCATCTTCCCGCTTTTTTTCCCTAATTTTTTTAATGTATGCTAGAACTGCAATAAAATGAGCTGCAAAATCAGCAGTGCAGTTGGTGCATCATTCCCATCCCATGCTTTCAGGGGAGGAAAGCCACACAAAACTTTCAATCTAGATTTTATGCTTCATGCTAATCTGAACAGTAACCAAACACACTCAGGCACTTGTTAAAATCCAAGGGAAGAAATCAAAGACTTAAACACGAAGAGTGATCCTCTTGGGATGCTTTGTGCAGCCTTCCTGAGTGCCAGGAAACCCACCTTTGAGGAGAGCAGTGAGGATGGACATCTCAATGTCCTGCTGCCCTTCGGAGCCCATGCGGAACACAGTAATCTAAGAGGCAGTACAAAACCAAGCACACAAAATTACAACACAGGAAAGAGAGACACTGAACATGTGGATAGAAAATAGACCAGAATGGTGCTGCTTTATTATTTTCTCCAATTTCAGATATTTCAAAAAGTACAGTTCCACTAAATTTTTCTTTTAAATTTTTCTTTTTAAATTTCACAGAAGTGTTTAATTAAATTCTTTCAGTGAAATTATCTTAAATATCCCTGCATTGGTGAACAAGACAAACTTGATGAAAAATCTTCACCAAACCCATGTATTCTAAAATATGGAGACAAATCTGCCATGCAAAACCAATTGTTTACTGATGGTTCTATTACTTCCCAGTAGAATGGAAATGCTAATTACCCAAGATAATTATCATAGCATCCGTTTTATTGATGATAACACTCAAATACTTGTTGGCTGCAGGATGTGTTACACATGACAATCATAAAGGCAGAACCAAGTTAAGAAAAAAAACAATTCTTTTTAGGCACATTTGCTTTGTTCAGTCCATTTTGCAATTCAGTGATTTTAAAAATAGTACTTAATGTAAAGCTTACATGATTAGATGACTAATAATTCAAAGCAGAATAACCAAATATTCAATGTTAACAAACTTTATACCAAATGCAGACCTTCATTTTCCAAAAGCAACTACTCACATTAACTACTGAGAATAGCAATTTTCTCAACAGTTAGAATATATTTCGCAGGAATGCAAAGATACATGACATTAGAAAAAGAAGAAGTACAGAAAAAATATTACTAATTAACAAGAACAGACAAAACTATCAACAGAAAACCATAACCATAAGTCTGCTTGGGCTGCACAGCCAGTGTCTGAATTTTGCTGAGTAAACCAGGCCTGCTTTTAAGCACATTTTAAATTCAAAACGGTCTGACTAAAACAGCTGTGGGGTCTCATCTCTCAACCAACTTTTTAGGAAGGCTGATTCTCTTTCAGTCAGCTTATCAGAGATGTTTACTACCAACTTTACACCCAGTGAAGGTGTATGGATGGAACTTATCTTGGCATCATATTTACAAAAAATCACAGAAAGAGTTACTCAAAGGCAACACTCAGGGATTCATTCTGCCTGCAGAAACACAGTGAATGCAGTTTCAATACACTGCTTCCAGACAACACATGTGAATGTCAAAGGTTTTCTTTCCCTGAGCACACTTTTCCGTGCAGCTGGGATGTGGGAGACAGACAGGAACCTGAGTGAGGGCTGCAGCACATACAGCAGACCTGCAGCAAACCAGGAGCAAGGAAGGGGGGGATCTTCAGGAATACAATATTTCAGTTTCTTTTGACAGGCCTGCCAGGCCCCTTTTCCTGGAATGAAAGGCTGTTAAGGAGTAACTATGTCAGAAAACAAAAACTGTGTGGATGCACTCTGAATGATTTTTGCTCCTAGGATCCCTTATTTCAATTATTCTTCCTCCACTTTCGGCATTGGATCCTGGGTTTATGCATTTCTCTTTGTGTCTTATTGCTGAGATATGTGGAAAAAAGTCCTATCAATTTACCTATCAAGGAGAAGCATCTGAAATTTGGTTTTGGGACTTTCCAGAATATGTAATCCTTCTCAGCCTATGCTTGTGAATGAATGTGTACATTTAATGCAGCTATATGAGGGAGAAAAGCTTAAACTATAATCTTAACTCTAAACTTAACTATAAATTTAAACTAAAATGGCACTTGAAGGTGCTCTGTAAATTTGTTCAGAAATCACCTTTGTGAACTACATTTAGGATACTTACAAGTTCTTTTTTTTTCATGCACTCCATAAGAATGACAAACAGCTGATGAGCTTGATTCCTGTTATAGTTAAAGGTTTTCTGGATGGTAACTAGAAGCTGGTCCCTAAGGGATTCATTTATTATCCTAAATGAAAAAATGAGACATAAATAAGACATTGCCAAAATGAATATATATTCAGAAGGCCTGCTGTTTAAGAAACTGTAATATCCAGGTATCCCTCTTATATATCATAGATATACCTCTGTTAATAAGTTCAATCTTCAGGATTTTATTGCTAGGCCTTACAGGACTCCTATCCTTTGCTTCTAAATATTCCCCTACCTTTGCTTCTAAAAACCCCAAAATACTTCACATTTCTGATGTCACCTTGATTATCGTCTTAAACAAGATGACTGCACTTGCTAATACATCTGAAAACTCCTAATACCCAACTGAGAAACAAATGAACAATCCAAAAGATAATTAAAGAAATTAGATTGAAAATTTTCTAGAAAGGTCAGGAATGTTTGCTCTCCCAAAACAATATGAAACAGCCATTCAATCTTCATCCATTTCCCAATAAAGCACATGTGTTTTCAGATTATGGCAAACATTACCAGCAGGTGCCTGAGAAATGTTGTAAAATTCAAAGTTCACTGTGAGAAAATGATTGGACTGACAAAAAATTCTCATTATAGATCTGCCTTACTAGACAAACACATTCATCATAATTATTGGACAAGAAAATTGGACACTGCATCATATGCACTGTCACTGGGAGGGAAAGTCATGCAGTGAGCACATCTCAGAGACTGATGCTGCTAAACTCTTTCAATTAACTATGAACTGATAGGAAGAACGAATAAAAACGAAAAGAAAAAACAAGACAAGTTTGATCTAAACTAAGGAAATTTGTTAGCAGAAAGGAAAGTTGCTGGATCATAAATACGGTTGGTGCAATTAAATATGTGCTATGTCTAAACACCAACAAAATCTGGCATAAAAGCTGCTCTCCTAATTCAGCAAATAACATCCACACTGCCTGCAACACTACTTGTCTGCTTAATATTTGATACAAGCTAAGCTTCAACTTCAGTCAAGGAAATAAGTTCTATCTTCAGCACAAGACAGGTATGCCACAACCTAATTAAGATGAGGTGTTTGCCTGGAAGGCAAAAACAAGAGAATGAAGAAAGCCCAAAATTTCCACAGCTGGTCTGGCACTCTTGGACAATGAAATTAATTCACACAGCAGAATCAGACAGCACAAATTTTGCAAATGCATGCACTAATTAACCTCGGCCTGAAGAAAAGAGTTACTCCTGGGAACCTGTCCTTGCTTCTAGCCTGCCTAACCCAGCACCAAGTACTGTGCAGCAAACCTTGATGGAGCTTGTAAAACAGTGTGCTGTACTGAGAGCAAGCTCCTTTCACAGGACCATAACATGCATTCAAAGTGGTAATAACTTCTACTCCCTAACTTCAGGGCTAAGACTAAACAGGCAACAAAAGCTGACTGACAGCAGAATGCCTCTGTTGGCAGCATTTTGTCCTTGAGGGCTTTTTAAATGAAACTCTATGAAAGCAAGGCATATAGTCCTACACAGCTTTGGTGAAGATCTTAAACCCTTACCCTCCTTCCTCTGAATACTTGTGTGCAAATGACAGAATGTCAGACGCTCGCCCGCTGCCATCGCAGATCACCACTGGGAGAGGGGGCTCTTCCCGCAGACACTCCAAGACAATGGAGATCACATTGGGACCTCCTTCTACTATGAGCCCAACTACAGGAACACCTTGCCCCAGTCCTGCAAAAACCAGAAGAACAGAAACAAGAGAAAAAAAGAACTGTCAGTGAAACTTAGTTTAAGAAATTGAGATAAGTGGATGTGATTTCTGTGTTAGAGCACCACTTCCAACCAGAGCCCTTAGGAAAATGATACCCATTTGATGGCCAATGTGAGCAAAAACGTCCATATGCTCTTCCCCAAACCCAAAAGGAAAGAGTAAGACATCTCTCTGCCCTTGCTTTTGCATCAGCTCCATACTGGTCACTTATGCACTCAGTGTTGGTGGATGTTTGTAACCTCTCTCGACAGACACCAGGTACAGATAAAGCAGCTAACGTGACTGTCCTATTGCTTCATCAGCTTCACTGCTACTTGATGGCTCCCAGCCTTTGATGCTTTATTTCTTCATTGGTTACCTATGGGAAGTCTTCAGTAAGGTGGCATACCTATGCTTATTACTAAGATAAAAAAATGAAATTAGTGTTTTTATCATGAGGCTGAAATGGTTGGCCGATGGAAGAGACGACAGCTGAGCATCCCTTTGCTGTCCCTGCCTCACTGTGATCTCCAGGCATAGGATGACAAAGGGAAGCCCACAGGTCACATGGTCTCAGTAGCCTTGGTCACAAGAAACTTAGGGAAACGAAGGACAAAACATTACCTGAATGCTGACTAATTCCACTATCATAAACATTTGAATTCAGTTCTTAATCTGTGAAATGACCAGCACTTTATAAAGATGCGCTTTTTTTGTTTGGCTGAGAACGCGTGAATGAGTTCATGTTTTCAACCTTGATTCCTCTCTGAAGAACAGGAACACCATGAACAGTAACAGCAGAAGCTTCCTGCCATCCTCCTGTCAGTACACCCCAGCTCTGATAAGGAGGAGTCACAGAGCATGGGCCGGCCTGTGTGTCCATGAATCTTTAGTGATTCCTCCTGAGATTTCCAGCAGAGGTGCCTGTGCTTGGAGTGATTAAGAAGAAACAAAACAACTCCCTGTATGTTGTAACTAGCTGGTGACTGCAGCCCTTCACACAACAGCTTTCTATGTGTATTCCCAACTTTGCCCTTCTCACGACAAAAATCATCCAACACTACCTAAATCAGAGTTAATATCCCCCAGCCCCAGTGGTATTAAAAGGAATGACACAGAACATCTTGTCTCTGGGCCCTGAATTCCTGATCTTTCAAGACAATGCTTCCTTTCACAACCTTCCAGCTCTGCCAGCACTTCCACAGAATACAAAGATGACAGAAGCTGTTTCCATCAGTGGGCAGCAGCACCTGGCACTGCCCCCATGCTCAAAGGCAAGGGGCAGCATTTTCCTGAGCTGTTTCTTAGGCTCACCAGAGGCACAGGGCAGCACTTAAGAGAATTACCAGAACATCTGGATACATCACAGCTGATCTCTAATTGTGCCTTTTGGCTTTACCTGGTACTCCACTTGAGTTTTCTGCTCTACCCATAAGAGCACTTAGACCCTATAAGGAACTTCTGTGGAGTTCAATTAAATTGCTAGTCTGGATAGTTCTTTTCTGTTCTTTTCTCTTATTTTTACAGGCTTACACAGTTTATTGGAGCATCAGCAAGAGATAAGAAAAGCAACTGGTAGAACTGATGTAGATTCTCCAGTAGTTCTTAACTGATGCATGAATTGAATGACTCTCAACATTTTTTTTACCATTTTTAATTAGGGTTGTGGAGGTATTTTTAAATAGTTTATATATTTTTTATTTCACCTTTTAAAAATATTTTTACATGCTCATTTTAAAAGAATTTTTTTCTAAATAATGATGAGAAAAGTGCTAGGAAATTATTTTAGAGAGGCTGTAATAACTGGAAGAAATTTTAAAACTGCATAAAATTCTAAATATGAAAGCATTAAGGTGAAATTATCTTAATTGTCATTAAAAATCAAAGTGCCTGCTAAGTTTATCAGGAAGACCAAAGAATTTTGAGTGTGATATTTCAAATGAAACAAATCTGTATATAAAAGAGAAAATAAAATGCTTATGTGAACATTCAGAATCAGAAATCACTAAGCTGCACAGGATTCCTGTAAACAGGAACTGTAAAAATTCCCCTCATTCTGTGTGTTTACTGATGCTTATGAATTCTATCCTAGAATGCACAAATTCTTTGCATTTCATTTTCCTTAGATTCTCACTGCTTTGAAGCTTCTCCTCACTATTATTTGTTGCTTTCTCTTCATCCCTTTATGCAATCCTTACTCCATGGTTTTTCTGTCTGGCTTGATGTGGGCTCTTTCACCACTTATCAAACAGCACATGTTCTAGTCCAGTCACACTGTCCTGCTCACATTTCCACTGGAAAGAGCTGGAAGAAGTTATAACTTCCATACTTTCAAGCACTTCAAGCCCTTCCTCCCCCCTCTTCAAGACGTTGTGGTTACAGCTTGCCCCATTCCTACTTACGTGTGTTAATCTTCTGGAGGGAAATGTGTTTTTCCAGCTGACGCCGTAACTTCACTTCAGCTCCATATTTACCTAACGTGCCGTTGTCTGCCAGAATGAAGTGGGTGTGAGAGCTGTTGAGCACAGAGAGCTTACTTAAAGGGTTTGACATTGTTTGGTAAACTCGCGTTACCTGTGTGTCAAGAGGAGAGATGCACCTAGATTAGAACTAAGAATCAAATGGGAAAATGCCCCAAATCACCCAACAGAGGCACACTCAAAGTCTTCTGAGGAAACAAACCAAGCAAACATCTACAACAAAAACCAGAGAATTAGAAATGGAGCTTGCCTTTACATTTCAAATCTTTACTCCTGACAGCACTGTTTCCTTTGGAGGATGACAGTCAGATTGTGCACTCTCCTTCATGTTCCTCTAAGCTCATTACCATGCTCTCCTTGTTCACACAGTGTTGTTACATAATCCTCTTAGTGCATTAGAAAATAAATTCTCATTTGGAGTTCCTAGTAATTCATATACCACTCCAGAGTACCCACCTATTATAAATGCCAGCCTTGCACACACAACAAGGCCCTTATGTGATTTACTGAAGGCTCGGAGTGCCACGCTGAAGTTAGGATGTAAAACTGTCACCACAGAGAGGTCTTTACTAATGAAAGCAATGGAAACCTCACCAATTCCATATTTACTTTGAGGTCATATATGACAACCTGTGAAATATTCTTGAACAACAGGTTTTCTCATGAAATTGTTCAATTTCACCTTTTAGGCATGCTTTAGAAATGGAAAAAAGTAATATTTCAGAAACATTAACAATTATTTTTTCCACGTATATTTCCTTACACACTTACATCTTTTCCTATTAGATCTTCCTTGTTTTCTACAATGCCCCACGGTGCAATTCCTATGGCACATATTCGTCCCCTGGATTTGGAAGAATGATCTTTCAAGGCATCTCCCACATGACGAATGACACCTATAGGTACAATTAATTTAATGCATTTTTGGCACTTTAGATTGATCACTAAACAACTGAATTTTCTTCTCGCCTCTCAGGGAGCTACTGTGTTGCTTTCACTACTAAACTGGCACTGGTACCTTATAGTAGAACATGCAATGCAGACAACCATGGTTTTATTTTGCAACAGTTGTGTGTAAGTCCCATGACCTTCTCATATCATTGTGCTGAATCCAGTGAAGTCTGTGGAAGACTTACCCTGTCTTCCTGTACAGATTACACTTTCCACAGTGTAATCTGTACCCTTGTCTGTCTCGATGTATATTATTCATTGGACTCAAACCATGACATCAAGAAATACACTTTTAGAAATAAAAATATCTTTGTACAAAAAAAACCACAGCAAAGCTAAATTTGGAGTAGGAAACTTCTTAACTACAAGGTTAACCAAGAACTAGAAGAAAAGTATTAGAACTAGTGGTCGATTCCTTGCTACTGAAACCAAGGCTGAATTTTGTTTTCAGGGGAAACACCGAGTAATGCAAATCAATACTGACCCAGGAAAATTTTATGGTCTGGGCTGGGTAGGATATTAACACAATGATTACAATGCTCCTTTTTTGGTTTAGTGGGTAATGACTTGTTCATGTAGACGTAAATCTTCTGCCTGTGGGAAAGATTAGTGAATGAAAATCACTGAATTCTTAAGTAAACTAAAATTATGGCAATTACTTACCTGTACTAACACCACCAGTGAAAATCCAAGCTCCTGTGGTCATGGCAGCCTTTATCAGCCCTTTTCCAAACACTTGCTTTAATTTTGGTTGCATTTCAAAGTTCTGGAGGCCTCCATGGACAGAGATTAAGAGCTTGGGCAGTTCCAGCTGCCAATCTTTCACCATGAGATGCAGCAGAGAATCTGGTTTAGTGTCATATGACACACGGATGTACTGCAAAGAGCAATGTGCAATGCTGTCACTCAACCTGTTCTGAAGAATTGTCTGAGCAAAGAATAGTTACTGTTTGCCTTTCATCCTGAAGAGAAAGTTTTAAAGTTTTCAAACAAAGTAACAAATCCAAGTTTGGATTTCTTCAGAAGAGAGGAAAAACAAATGGAATTTTTACAGAAGTTTGAACTGCTGTTACTTTTACTGCTAAGAAAACTCAAGAGTCTGTTGAACACCAGATGAACACCTTAGAGTACCCTATGCCCCTTACCATGGCCTTATTTGAATGTCCTCCTCCCTGGAATTCCAGGTTTCCATAGGCATCTGTTGGGTATGCTTGGGTGTGTTTACTGACAGACCATTTCTCTGGCTGAGCTTCCACTTGCTTCGTTTCTTCTTCATTTTTATTAGCTGTTATACTTGGAGGAGGTGGAATATGTTGGTTAATGAGCTGGCCACAGCAGCACCTGGAGGTTAAAGTGATGTTGATTACAGTATCTTCAAAATTAAAGAAAAAAAAAAATCAGAAATTAGATTTTCAACTGCCCAAGATGAGTAAGAGAAACACCGCTCACATGCACATATATGCCAGAACTAACAGGCTTAGGTTTTTTACATGCAAAGATAAAAAAATTCACTTCCCTTGTATGGAAAGCTGTTCTAGGTAAAAAGCCAGGCAAGGAGGAAAAATGCAGAACAGGAGCACTTAGAGGTGTTTCTTACTTAGAGGTGACAGCTTGCATGTGACATTAACTGCTCTGTTATCCACACAAGCTGGACCACAATATGCAGCTAGCCCATGGAGTAATATTAATATTTTGACTAAGAAATCAAATCCCCCTGACTGCTATTGTCATTGGTAATATCATACCAACTGTTAAGGGTGGCACCACATTACTGCACCCTCACTGTCAGAATTCAGTATGAATCTATCATGGTTTGCAAAGGCAGGAGCTAACAACTCACTGCTCTCAGCCTTCTCAGCTCTGTGTGACATGTCCCATGGCTCTGTGCAGATTGGAGTGCAAGCATGATTTGTGCTTTTGCTCCCCTGTCATTTCCCTTTATGGGCAGTGACTAAATTGGGTTTTACACATCTAAACCCAAACCAAGTTCAGTTTCTCTGGTATTAAGTTTTTTTGTTGAAACAAAAATTTCAAATGTTACCTGGTAACGTCTTTGTTGTTGGCAATTATATAGATGCATTCTCTTTTAGAAAAGGTCTTCTCTATCCAAGCCTTCTGACCCTTGAAAGAGAG